TGATCTCACTCTCTGGAGCCCATGAACCATTAGTGAATCCTCCCCTGAGGGAGCGTGTGGGCCATGCTGGCGCTGGGCAGGGGCTCTGCAGACCCCTGCTGGCCTCAGAGTAGGAGGGCCCTTTTTCGTGGACGGCACAGTGTGGCAGCTCCTCAGGCCCTACATCCCTGAGGAAGGAAGCATAGTTGGGCTGGGACACCCCACACTCACCCCATCTCTGCCATCACTGTGGTTTCTTCCCACATAGTGGACAGCAGTGCTTGTGCCCACAGGAAGTCCCCAGAGCCTGGGGTGTTAGTTTTCCTGCCATCTTGCTGGGATTGGGGTCTGATGTTCCCAGAGTCTCCTGGTGGTGGAGGAGAGGGGCCACTTGGCCATCAGTAGGGAGAGGCCAAGGGTGCTGAGACCCCCACTCACTCCCTGTCCCCCTTGTTGCAGCGGAGTTCACCGGGCCCCCACAGAAGCCACCGCGGCTGTGCACACAGGTATGTGTTGGCTCCTCCAGAGCTCAGAACACGCTCGGTTGAGGGGTGATGTTCCACAAGCCTGGGGACCATGGGCCCCAAAAACGCCATAGGCACCTAGCAATCATTCAGTTCAGTGTCCTCATTAGACACAGCACAATCAATGTACTGTGAATGTTTAGATTTAAATCTGTCACAGGAAAAGGTGCACTGCCATGAGCCCCGCAGAATGCTCACGTCACTTTGAAGCCTTATCCCAGCGGGCTTGCCACTTCCTGGAGCAGCTCTGGACGTCCTCTTTCATGGGGTCTTGAGCTGTGCCTGACTCACCTTCCCCAATTGCTTCCAAACATTTCCCTTTCACAGTCATTTCGACTTGGGGGAAGAGGCAGAAGTGACAGGGCACCAGATCCATGACTGAGGTGGATGGGGCTACTTCCCTGTGTTTATCTGACAGAAATTGCCATAAACATTTGTCCACAAAGGGTGCTCAACAGCCATGGGGAGGGCTTCAATTAAAAAATTATTACAAGGGGCTGGGGATTTAGCTCAGCGGCGTAAGCGCCTGCCTTGCAAGCAGGCAGTCGTGAGTTCGATCCCTGGTACCGATAAAAAATGAAAAAGACAAAAAACACACACCCACACACACACAAAATTATTACAGTAAAAGCACATCATCCTGAATTCTCCCTGAAAATACTCTCCATACCCACCAGGCCTTGAATGTGCCTATCCCCTCATAATTGGCAATTTGTCTGGTACTGTAATAAAACTTTTAAAATTGTTAGTACATATTTGAAGTCATAATGATCACATTTACTGTGGGGAGCTGATACATGTATGTAACACATCTTAATCTTTGCAATAAGGTTCTTAAATGTCAGCATTCACTGTTTTTGACCATCCCAGAGAAGGGAAGGGCTTTGCTACAGGCCCCAGGGTTAGTCATGACTCAATTTCCTGCTCCTCAAACTAGAAGAAAACACACTGCTGTAGTCCTGGGGACAGGAGGGCCCCTTCCTCCATCCCTCCCCCTCCTCCCATCATGGCTGTTCCCTTCCCTCCTGCAGTCCATCCAGCCCACAGCCAACCTGGACCGGACTGACGACCAGGTGTACTTCAATGTCATGGAGCTGGTGCGGGCCGTGCTGGACCTCAAGGACGAGCTGTCCCAGCTGCCCCCTGAGGGCTACGTGGTGGTGGTGAAGGTGAGGGCAGGCTCGGGGAGACAGCTGTGAACCCCAGCCCTGATGGAAGGGGCTGCGCCTCCACCTTGGCCAGCCTGGCAGGCCCCAGGGGTACGAAGTGATTAATGGGAATTTAGGTCTGAGCGGCCTCAGAGGGCATCTACCACCCCAGGGGCACAGAGGCGTTCTCAAAGCAAGAGGCAAGCTGCACATGGTTGTACAAGCTTTGAATCCTGGCACTTTGATAGGCTGAGGCAGGAGGATCACAAACTCTAGCCCTGCTGGGAGGATTTAATGATTTCACAAGACTCTGTCTCAAAAGAAACGAAGAAGGGCTGGGGATGCAGCTCAGTGAGAAAGTCCTCAGTTAATGCAAGAGCTAACGGCTTCCTTGTCCTCTCCTCTGCCCAGAACGTGGGGCTGACCCTGCGGAAGCTCATCGGGAGTGTGGACGACCTCTTGCCCTCCCTGCCATCATCTTCGAGGACAGAGGTGAGTGTCCAGTGCCCAGACAGATAGTGCCACATGTGTTGCTTCTCCCCTGCACCCTCCCCTGTGTCTCCCACAGGGCCTCCCTGGGGCCTTCTGGGCAGCAGCCTTTCTGCCTGCTGAGTCCCCAGTAGGTGGCGCTCGGCCTGGCCAGCACCCAGGGCAAATTCCCTATTCAGGTCTCGGATTATTCAGGTCTCGGATAATGAAGGCGAAATTGACATGCACAGCAGGCAGACACCTTCCCCTTCCCCTTCCCCTCTTACTGGCCTTTATCTCAGCGCATCTGCACTGATCGGGAATGAATATATCACTGCAGCAGCAAACAGCACAGGATCGAGTCCCCATGGGACTCCTGGTGTTCTGTGAGATGGAGCAGCTGACAGGTGACAGGCAGACTCGTGGTCTCCACAACTGTCCACATCCTGGGCCCCAGGGCCGGTGCTCATGTAACCTTGCCGGCAGTGGGCACTTGGTGGTGTGATAAAGTTAAGGGACTTCAGATGGGGAGATTGTGCTGGAGTGGGTAAAGGGGGTGGCAGGAGGTCAGAGTCAGACACGGGTGGGAGGATAGATGCCGCCAAGGCTGGAGTGATGTTGCTACTGGGAGGACCATGGGCCCAGGAAGGTGCCGCCTCTTTGGGGTGAGAAAGGCAGGGGAAGATAGTCCTCAGCAAGCAGCATGCCTTTGCCAGCACCTTGACTTTGTGAGTCCCTTATCGCAGCCACAGGGAACCCACCTGCTGCTGCCGGACATTTGCAATTGTCCATCTGGAAGTCAGTCATCAACCTCCCTCCTACAAGGCCCTTCAGTCCACTGTCTTCTGGTGGTCAGCCATGTGGCTTATCCATTCCTGTGCCTCCCCCCTCACTCCTTTGTAGCTGCTCCAGGTAGGACAGAGCAAGCATGTCTGGGACATTCCCAGGCCTCCCTCTGGGTGGCAGCAACAACCCACAGAGGGCTCCGCTGGACAGGGGTCACCTCTGATGGCACTGAGCTGCCCCCAGGACCTGGACAGCTTTCAGGGTGACTTTCCTGGTTCAGATCCGATGGGAGAGCTGTGTGCCCTCAGGATGGACATTCAGTCCTCTCATTGCCTTTGACAAATACTCGGGCACTTTATGTGCTCATCTGGGGATGTGGCAGTGAAGGAAATGCCGTCCCTGACCTCCAGGTTTACAATCAAAGCTAAAACATGGGCCAGTGCCCTTGAGCATGGCCTCAGTCTTCTCTTGAACATCTGCCAGCATCAGAATTCTTGTGCGAAGGGCGTCCTGAGGGACAGGGTCAAGGTCAGCTGGCTGGGGTGTCCACCGTGTCCATTGGATCCTGGACCCAGGGACGGATTTGCCCAACCCAGGTCTGAATCCTCCGGCCTTGGTCAACACCCTTTCTCACCCTCCACGGGCCGTTCTATCCACAGATTGAGGGAACCCAGAAACTGCTTAACAAAGACCTGGCAGAGCTCATCAACAAGATGCGGCTGGCCCAGCAGAATGCAGTAACCTCCCTGAGCGAGGAATGCAAGCGACAGATGCTCACGGCCTCCCACACCCTGGCGGTGGATGCCAAGAACCTGCTGGACGCTGTGGACCAAGCCAAGGTTCTGGCCAATCTGGCCCACCCGCCAGCAGAGTGACAGAGGGCGGGAGCCACCCACCTGTGTCTCCACCCTCACCCGTCCTGCACCTCCCCTGCCTGGCCTTCGGTCCCATGGTCTTCTCGGGGAGGACAGAGGGGAGTCCTTCCCCCTCGCTCTGCACGACCCCCTCCCCACCTCGCCCCCACCATGCTGCTCAGGCTGCAGCCAGATGAAAGGACTCTGGGTACGGACACTGAGGTGGTGATGCCGCTGGTTCAGAAGGGGCGCTGCTGCTGGCCACTCCCTTCCACCCCAGCCTGCGTGCTGGGTTCTGGGGCACCTCGCTGGGCTCACAGTGATGCCCCTAGCAGCTGAGAGGGCTCCATGCATGGACAGGTGAGCCCGTCTGGGAGCCAAACTATCCCTTCTCCTTCCTCTTCAGCCCTCAAGAGTCCCCAGATGCACAGAGGGGCCAGGAAGGGGCTCTATTTGGGGCCACGAGCTGGTGAATGAGGGCCATGCTGGCCTTCTTGTACAGTGTATATTGGAATTTATTTAATGTGAGTTTCGTCTGGACTGACAACTATCTAGAGAGAGGATCTGTGACGCAGTCCAGGAACAAGCTAATTAGGGACCAGGGCACAGGGTGCTGCACTCCTGTGTTTTGGGGTTTTTTGGGTTTTATTGTTTTTTTTTTTTTTTTTTTTTAATCAAAGCAGGTGTCAGAGCAAGAAGCCAAAACAGAACTCTGGACCACACTCTGCTTCCTTTCTGCCCTCTTTTCTCTTTCCTCCTTTACTTTACCCTTGCCCCCTTCTCTCTCCTTCTCCCTTTCTCATCATTCCTTTCCTTTCTTGTGTGCTTGTGTAGAACATTCTTTTACCTTCTTTCTATTTGACTTGTGGTTGAATTAAAATTGTATGATTTGCTTTGTGGTTTGTTTGTGTTGCTTGTTGGATCCGCTGGTCTTGAACCATGGCCCAGGAAGAGATCAATTTTGTCCACCTTCGGTGCAAATCAAGGGACCCTTGATCTGGGCCTCGGCCAAGGAAGAAGTACAGTGACACTCAGTAGTGGGGTCACATGCGCGCCTGCACTTTGCCCCCATATGGGCAGCAGGGTCACCTGACCCAGGGTGGCTTTCAAGGATGGCCTCAGGGCTGCCCCCTCCATGTGCAGTTCCTCTTCAGGCTCTGGAGGGCCCTGGGTGTTGCTGAGGACACTGGGGTGTGGTGGGCGAGGAGGAGCCACACCACTGACTGACCAGCAGACCCGGCTTTATTTAATGGCTTTACTCACATGCGAGACAGACAAGGGGCAGGAACAACATGGCGATTACCCCTGGACCAAGCAGGGGAGCTGGGGGCTACATTCTCAGGAACAAGGAGGAGCCCAGACGAGAAAGGAAGAGGGAATTGAGGAGGGGCCTGCTGGGCCAGGATCTTGGGTAGAGGTAGGAGAAGACCTTAAGATTTCTGGGAAACAGAAAATTCCCCTATTCCATTTCCTGCCCAGGGGCTCGTGCTATCTAGAGAGCCCGGTGCCCACCTCTGTGAGATGCTGAGGTCTGGGCTCCCATCCCTCAGCCCCATGGAACTTCCCTGCTGTGGTGGAGGAAAAATGCACAGGCCACTGGACAGCTGACCCATCAGAACCAGGGGGTCTTCCTGGGAGGGGACCTTCCTGAGGCCTCAGCTTGCTGCCCCACTTCATGGACTCACGTCTCTAGGGCTGATCCCACACACCTGGTGCTGTGCTCTGCGCTGGTCAAGGGAGACAAAAGGCATCTGCCCCGCCTTGGAGGAGTTCAGACCAAAACCCTGAAGTAAAGTGGGTATCAGGGACCAGGCCCCTCTTTTGATTTTTGAGGTCCTGGGAATGGAGCCCAGGGAACACTGACTACATCTCTGGCTCTTTTTAAATTTAAATTTTGTTAAGTTTGGGACCTGCTTTAACATACCTTGCCCAGGTTGGGCTCAGACTTCTGGTCCTGCTGCCTCAGCCTTTCAGAGTGCTGGGACCACAGATGTGCACCACCATGCCCAGCTCAAGCTGCAAGTTTGAGTCAGGTGCACCCTGAGCGAGACTCAGGGTGGATGCCTTTGCCTCTGCTCGCTGTGTGCTCCGGTGGCCCCACAGGGCAGCAGCAAGCTCAGCTGGCTGGTGGCAGCCCCTTTGCAGCAAATTAGGGGGAGGGGGCAGGGGCTCAGAGGCGCTGCAGGTGGGGGCAAAGAATGCAGCGGACAGCCCCTCTCTGTTCCTCCCTGTCGTGCTGGGCTCCTTTCTGCACCCACAATGTTGCTGCTCATCTCCACCCCCAGGCCTCCACCCCTTCCCCCCATGTGCCATCCTGGGGGCTGCACCTCTCCCTCTGTCCTGGTCCCAGCCCTCCACCCCCTGTGTGGCTCTGTCACTTAGGGTCCACATTGCTCCTCTGGGAGCATCTTCGGCTCACACCGTCACTGTGATGTCCCAGGCTTCCAAAAGTAGATGCCTTCACCTCTTCCAGCTCCTCGGCCTCTGAGGCAGGGCTCTGCATCAGTCAGCAGGTTACAATGTGTGATGGCCAGAAGAACCATGCCCACCTGAAAAGCCGCACAGTCTGGGCCAGAGTGAGGACTCCACAGAAGCACACCAGGCAGATGGCTTTGACCCCAAAGGGTACACTAGAGGCAGCCGCAGTAAAGATCTCAGAAGATGGTGGGCAGGGGGACCTTAGAGTTAACACGAGGGGCATGGAGTCAGATCATTCCAGCCAGGAATGGAGGAAGAAAGAGCCCGACGGTTCCCAGGAAGCAGACGATGACGAACAACCAGAGGAATATCCTGTCGATGACCATGGCGACGTACTTCCAGTCTTCCTTCACCTGCAGGCGCAAAGGGGCTCAGAGTGAGGTAGGCGGCCGGGGAAGGGAGCGCTGCCTACCCACACAGGGGCAGCAGCTGTGGACTGGAGACCTGGGAAGCCGAGGTCAGCGCAGGGACAGGGTTGGATGTATGGGGGGCAGGGTCAGCTCCGGACTCTGCAACCCTCCCCAAGGGTCCTGTCTTATCCTATGCCACCTTCCAAGGGCTCACAGCTGTCTGTACTCTCTCAGCTTCTGAGAAAAGGAAGCTACAGGGGCACAGGATGTGCTAGCGCCACCTAGGGGCACGGAATCCCAAGCTACCCTCAGAGGGTGGTGAAGAGTTTGGCCCAGGCTGCCTTCGCAGCCACCTGCAGGACGTGCAGAGGAGGCAGGAGCCAGTCACTGTGACCCAGGGTGGGCTGGAGGTGGGTTGGGGGCTTTTTGGAGCTTGGGCTCACAGCTCAGTCCAGGGGAGCTGGGTTCCTAGCTGCTCCCAAGCGAATGTTTATGTTCTTATCTACTCCGCAAGGCCTCGCAGCAGCCACCCGCAGCCCTTCCTCCTTCCATGGCTAAGATGAATTCCGGTGCTAGACACTGGGTACACACGGCAAGGGCCAGGGAGAGGAGACCACCCTCACGCAGCCAAGCTTCTGCGGGGTATGCAGCCAAGACAAAGTCCACAGCATGCCCAGGCCCTGCTAAAGAGAAGGGCCGACCCTCCAGCTGGAAGGAGCAAAGTGGGGCTGCCCGGGCTGACACCGTCAGTCCCTCCTGATCTACCCTGGCACTTCAGTACCCCGTCCCACCTGCAGACAGAGATGAGAAAACACTGTTCCCACTCTCCACCTTCCAGTTAGGCTTGGGGCGTGGTTCTTGATTGTGTGTGCGCGTGCGCATGCGAGTGCATACAAACAAGTATTGGGGATTGAACCCAGGACCTTCACTCTGAGCTACACACCCAGCCCTTTTTATTTTGATTCAAGGTCTTGCTAAGCTCCTCTTGTGGAAGCCAAACTTGCAATCATCTCACCTCAGAGTCCCAGAGTCCTGGGATCACAGCCTTGAGCCAGAGGGGGCATTCTAGACCCCATAGGATTCTGCCACCTGCTAATGAGTCCCTAGAGCTGCCAGCTGAATGCCCTCTCTCACGACCAATTCCAGACTCTAGAGGACCAGTCCTCGAGGGAGGGGACTAGGTGGGCCTAAATTAACGCCCTGAAAAAAGGGGTCCCGTGCTAAGCTGGCAGAGCCCGAGGAGGGACCCTCAGCAGCCCACACGCACCGAAGAGTCAGCGTCCTCCGACCGCAGGTGCTTGGCGATGTAGTGCACACCTTCCAGGGCCTTCTGCATGCGAGAGGACAGCGAGCCTTCACGTTCCCACGATGCAGGCTCTGCTTTGGGCCCCGTCGCCCCCGGATGCAGGCGGCTGCTGCTGCTGCTACTGCGGCTGTAGAGGACACTCGTGCAAGGGGCTGGGCGTCCTGAGCACACCCAGGCTTCCTCCTCCTCCTCCTCCTCCTGCTCCTCTGCTACCTCCTCCCCTCGCTCCCACGCATCCACATTGGTCTCCAGCCAGTGACACGTGGGATTGAGCTTCAGGCCCGGTGACCCATGGAGCTCCAGGGGCGGCGCCGGCGGTCGGTTCATGAGCAACCAGCGGGGTACACAGCCCAGCAGGACCAGGCGCACCCAGTGGGGCATGGTGTGCGTGCGCGGCGAGCGGTGGTGCACGTTGAGCACGAAGACCGTGATGACGATGGAGAGGGTGACGAAGATCATGGTGAAGAGCAGGTACTCGCCGATGAGCGGGATGACCAGCGAGGTGGACGGGATGATCTCGGTGATGAGCAGCAGGAAGACGGTGAGCGACAGCAGCACGGAGATGCACAGCGTGATCTTCTCGCCGCAGTCAGACGGCAGGTAGAAGACGAGGACCGTGAGGCAGGAGATGAGCAGGCAGGGGATGATGAGGTTGATGGTGTAGAAGAGCGGCAGGCGCCGGATGACGAAGTAGAAGGTGACGTCGGGGTAGATCTCGGCACAGCAGTCGTACTTCTTGCTGTTGTAAGTGCCCGTGGCGTTGACGATGGCCCACTCGCCGCTCTCCCAGTAGTCCTTCAGGTCCACCATCTGCTCCATCTGCTCCAGGTCGATCTTGGCCTTGTCGTAGGTCCAGGAGCCGAACTTCATCTTGCAGTTCTGCTGGTCGAAGGGGAAGAAGGTGACGTCGATGCTGCAGGAGCTCTTGTAGATGGCCGGGGGCACCCAGTGCACGGCACCGGTGGAGAAGAGGTGGGCCTTGGTCATGTGGGTCACCGCAAACTCACCGTCAGCACTGGGGAGAGGAGACAGGCTGTGGTGCCCTGTACTGCCACCAGGCCGGGGAGCAGAAGCAAGAGGACCCCAAACACAGCCTGGCATGCATCCTCCGCAGGGACACGAATCTTTCCTGGAAAACACACGTACCTGAGTGTCTTTTCCAATATCATTGCTTTCATTGCGAAAGTGAGAAGTGGGAAAAGTAGTGGGAAATACAGGGGATGTTTTAGAGAACTACCATTAAAATTTAATCTCTTAGGGGCTGGGGATTTAGCTCAGCGGCATAAGCGCCTGCCTTGCAAGCAGGCAGTGGTGAGTTCGATCTCTGGTACCGATAAAAAGGAAAAAGACCAAAAAAATAAATAAAATAAAATAAAATAAAATAAAATTTAATCTCTTATCTAGCCTACATGGGGGTGTGATTGAAAAAACATGGTGAATTTAAATTTAAAAATTTATCACAGTAAAAGACACATTGCCACTAATTCCCCGCTCAAAATATTGCCCTTTCCTTAAGACACACTCATCCCGTTTTTCTTGCCCCTTTCTGAGGCAGCTCTGGAAGAGCTATTTTGTGAGTGTCTTTAGTTGTTCTGTTCAAGCTCCCTCCATGCCTTGAATTGATCCAGAAGGTCCAGTTCTGTGCGCATTTAGACTTTAGGGAAGAGCCAGAATCGGTACATTGCCGTATTCACTGGATAAAGGGGGTGAGGTCACCCCTAATGATTTTGCAAGCCTGCCTTTCCCCTGGGGGCACTCAGCAGGGCGTTCACTGTAGCTCTGAGGATGCCTGTGAAGAGTTTCAGAATGAGGACCCCAGGACTGCTTGGAAAGTGGCAAGAACAAGGGGATGAGTGTGTCTGGAGGGAAAGGGTGTTTGGAGGGGCATTCATGGCAGTGTGTTTTTTACTAAAATAAAAAATAAAAAATGTAAACATCCACTGTACGTTTTGGTCACACCTCCTTGTTGACTGTTGCACAGATCATTTTCAGAGCAGTATCACATATTTGAGATTGTGAACTGTATGCAGTTTTGTTCCCTGTTTTTATTTGTTTCATAGTTCTTGCTTTTAGAGAGCTGATTCCTTCCCTATCAGCAGGTGATGAGAGCCGTGAAGTGGAGAAGGGTCTTGGCTTTTCCACCCGGATCTTGTGGGTTTTGCTCAGCTGGGGCCTAGCACTTGGGCTGCTGAAGGAAGGTACTTCCTGGGGTCCCTGCTTCTAGCACGCATTTCTAGGTATCACCCCAGGCCTGAGGAACCAGAGACACATCGCAGTCATTCCAAGGTCACCGTTTGATCAGGGCTGAGAGATGGAAGGGCAGTGTGGCAGCAGAGGGTCTCATGGGGCTGAGGAGCAGGTGGGGCAAAGGGCACACTCAGAGGGCCTGGGGGAGTGGAGAGACGGGGTAGTGGGGCAGTGGAGAAGAGGGTAAGGTACAAGGCACTGACAAGCACACAGTGACCTATCTAGGCTCTGGGGACACAGAAAGACAGTGGCAGGAGGCTGAGCCTACAACTCCCCTTGAGCAGTAGCACAATGGGCCCCTCCTCCTCCAGTTCCAATGGGCCACTCTGAAGCCCAGCATCAGAATACACAGGAATAGAGCTTTTTTTTCTCCCAGAAGTTTCAGAATCGAGATATGGCAGGCTAGAGACAGGAATTTTGAAAGAGAGTAACAAACACACCAGCCAAAAATTCCAATTGAACCAGGCTTGGTGGTGAACACCTATAATCCCAGCAATATGGGAAGTTGAGGCAGGAGGATCACAAGTACAAACCAGAAGGGGAAACTTCGGAGCTTTGGCAGATTCTGTATTAAAATAAAAGAGGCTAGGGATGTCGCTTAGTTTACAAACGCTGGATTGAATCCCTATTTAAAAAACAAAAACAAACTACATTTTTCTAATTAAAGCTATTTTGGTCATTTCACATAATCGCCACTAGATGACCACCGGCTCCCAGTTTGGAGAAAGAATAACTTTGCTAGCGCTGGTGCAGGGACTCCGAACCTCTGCAAGGGTTTGTACTGGACTTCTGTCCTGTCCTTCAAGGCATTTCTTGTGATAATCACGTGGCCCTGGGGAAAGCCTTATCGGCAGTCCTAAAACTCCAGGTCCTCCCGATGCCAGTATTTGCCTCTGACCTCTGTCAGGCATGCAGGATTTTGGGTGCCAGCTCCCCAGCCAGAGGTGAGAGTGGGGACTAGAGTCCCGCAGCTCTAGTTTTTGCCCACTGGGATATTTAGGTGCCCCTGCCTTCCCTGAGACTCGAGCTGCCGTGGTCAGATCCCTCTTTCTTGGTCGTGCCCACGAGGTAGCTCTGAATAACAACGAGGCACCAGTCACACTGAATGGGTTTGTCCCCTTCAGAGTCTCTGGCCTAGGACACCACGTGTGGGTTCAGACAGCAGCGCCGCCCTCACAGAGCCCACTGTGGGCATCTGCAGAGCGCAGGCGCCGTGTTCCCCAAAGACCCCTCTGAACCGGCCCGCTTGTACCTCCAGCAGTGCCAGGCCCTGAGACACAGTAACTGCTCAATGCACGTTGGTGTATAGGCATGAAAGAAATAAAAGCATAAATTAAGCAGGTAAAAGGAGGCAGGGACCTCTCCTCCTATGTCCCCTACCTGGCATCCCCTGCCCCCCCCCCACTCCCGCCGTGTCCTACTTGTTGTAGAGCACAATGTCAGGGATCCAGATCATCTCGGAAGGGACCCGGAGGGAGGTGATGTTGCCGAAGTCGGCCGGGTTCCAGCGTAGCTTGTAGTCGTTCCACTCCTGTGGGCCGAGGGGTCTCATCACCACACTGCCAGGGTGGGGACCTGGGCCCCCGGAGCTCCCCGCACAACTCCACAGGAAAGAGGGGCTGCAGCGCCAGGACAGGGCCCGAGCCAGCTGTCCGGCACTGGGGCAGGAACCCAGCCTCCTCGCTGGGCCTGGACTTTGGTAGCCAGAATCCTGGCTGCCTGGTCCTCAGTCTGCCCTCCCTGAGGGACGACCCCAGTGGGCACCTCCTGTGTCTGCAGCCAAGCCCATTATTTCTGGAGCGTCACATTTATGCCCTGCACCCAGGAAGAGCCTCCCAGAAACCCGGCAGGACATGCTGAGCAGACACAAGTGTTTCCTATTTCACAGACCAGGGCACAGAGGTGGTCACCTGTGACCTTCAGACTGTGCTGGAGTTGTTCCCCTCAGGGATGGGATGCTCTCGGCTCCACCCACACTTCCATCAAGCCTGTTCAAGTGAGTCTGTTCTTCTCCCCCAGGTTGGGTTCTTACCCTCTCTCCAGTCTATCTGTCAGGTTTACAGGTTGAGCCACCATTTGGTGGCACCTCCGGGAATCCCAGCCTGGGGTAGTAGATGACATCATTTCCATTTTACAGATGAGGAAACTGAGGCTCCCCGAAGCTATGCACATAGCCCAGCATCAGGGGCTGTTGGAGGTGGCTATGGCAGCCTGGCTCCCCCTGCAGTGTCCTTTCCTTGTCACCCCAGCCTGACCCAGGTGACCAGGACACTGGGACAATGGGGGCAACTGAGGTTCTAGGCCTGCCTCCCCAGTGCTGTTGGACTGTGAGGCTTTCCAATTCCTTTCCCATCCTAGCCTCCAGGAGGTGCACCTGTAAAGGGGAGCCTGGGGGCCCCTGCACTAGCTGAATGGTGTCCCAAGGGAATTGCCCAAAGCCTCTGTTATTGTTGATTCATTGTGTCAACTTGAGAAGTTTAGAAATTTCACTCAGAGACTCAGCAGGGAGCCAGAGTCCTTACTTGTTAAACATCCTCAGCCTGTACAAGAGGAGGGCAGAGTGCTACACCTGCCCTGGGGTGGGGAGCGGTCGCCTGCTTACAGTATGAGCTCTTTTGCTCCTGCTGCTTTTGCTGGCTGCTGTCTTGAAGTATTGCCACCGTGCCATGCCACCCTGCCTTGGAGCCAGCTGATTATAGACTGAAACCTCCACAAACTGTGACCTAAATAAACCTTTCCTCCCTTCCTCTTGGGTGTTGGGTGTTTTGTCCTAGCAACCAGAAAAAAGTAACCAAAGACAGCCTCCTACTGCGCCATCTGAGTCCCTGACACACAGCCCACCTCCATCCAGGGCCCAGCAAGGCAGGCAGACAAGCAGAGGACACTGGTCCTGCAGTCTTCTGTGCATTCACCTCTGCCATAGGAAGGAGCAGGTACCAATGGGCTGCGGGCAGGGACTGTGGGCAGGGGGCCAGCTCCTCTTTCTCATTCTCCCGCTGCCTCAGTGCCTTGGGAGTGGATGGGCAGAGCGTGAGGGGGAGGGAAGGGCTCTAAAGAGCTGGTCCCTGAGTCTGTCCCAGGCACAGCATATCAAAGAGAGCCACACATTCTTTGGCTTCTCTTCCACTGAGAGGCAGGATCGACACCCCTCCCCTGGATCCAGCTGGATTCCTTCAGATCAATGGAATCCAGTGAGATCCATGCTGGGCCAGTGTCCCAACATGAGACTAACAGTTTCTGCTTCCTGTTTCTTAGCACCATCATTCTGGGAACCTTGAGCTACCAGGTGAGAATCCAACTCCCCTGCAGGACAGAGCCCAGAGAATGACCCTGAAAGTGCCCAACGGCAGAGGAGCCTAGTCTGGGCCAGCCTTCTAGAACCTTCTAGAGTCTTCTGGACCATTTTCCACACCCCCTTGCCAAGGGATATACACGTGAAGGAAACTGTCTTAGACTCTCCACAACAGACTCAGTCACCAGCCAGACTCCGAAGTACCCTAGCTTTGACCATGCAAAGCATATAAAGCCCTGCTCAGTGGTAAGCTGGTCATTGCTTTAAGCCGCTAAACTTCGGGGTCTTTTCAGGCAGCAAAGACATGGAACACTCAGTGTTCTCTGGGTCTCAGGATAGAACACACCCAGCTGTATTCTGCCCTTCACCTTCCTCAGCTGTCAAATGGGCAGAGTGAACCCTCCGGTGGGGCATGGTGGCAGTGCCATAATCTCTGAACACTCTAAGTGGCCACTGTTTGGGAACTATGAACTCCATATCCAGCTTCTCCTTGGCCCTGGTCGGCAAAGGGTCTCTCAGGGGCCCAAGTCAGGGGGCTCCTGGCCCCTCCTTTGGGGCAGCCCTCACCTGCTTTAGCCAGACATTGGTGGTCATCATCTGGTTCTTCTCATCCTGGCCAGCAGTGGGGAGAGGGAAAGAGCAGTCAGAGTGAACCCCAACCTGGGAGGGCCACCTCTTCTGAGACTGCCACATGCACAAGGCCCTCTGAGAGGTTTGTGGGCCAGTAGAGAGGCAGGAGAGCAGGAGGAGGACGAGGGACCCAGCTGTGACCTAGGAGGGCTGGGAGGATGGGGTGGGGTGCAGGGCATGCAGGACAGGCGCACCACATCGATGAGCTGGGCGATGGACAGTCCAAAGCGCACGATCACCACATCCGAGGTATTGGGCACCGGCCGTGCCCAGCGGTTATAGCCCCCAAAGAGGTGTTTGAAGAGGCGATCCTCGGCCTGCGTGTGAGAGCCTCGCTGTGCCAGCACTGTGGGATTAGCAGAGGAGAGGAAAGGTCCCCGGGAGGCAGAGGCAGCAGTGTCTACCTCCCCTCCGGGCAAAAGCACCAAGTCACTGAGCCTGTTCGTTCATCTGATAAGGGGGGATGTGAACCAGCCCAGCCGCATCTCTGTGGGGCTGATGTGACCATCAGATGCCATGCCCTGTGCCCTCTTCAAAGATCAGTGCCTTTGTGAGATCAGCCAGCAAAGGAAGCACCGTACAGCAGGAGCCAGTGATGCCCAGACTTAGCGATGAGATTCAGCTTCACACTCAGGATCATCCAGGGGCACAGGGACGTGGAGGAGGCACCTGGTCGACGCAGGGGGAGCAAGAGGGCAGTGGGAGACCACCCCCACTATGGCTGGCAGGGGACGGCTCTGGCTCCCACCCATGTGGCAGACAAACCACCGAAGCCAGCCTGGAAGCCCTCCTCTGCCACTAAGCTTGTCACCCTGGATCTGCCTTCCTCCCCTGGCACTTGCCACTTCCTGTCAGTGAGGCAGAGCACTGCAGAATTGTGCACCAGGGAGTTTGTCCCCAGGCTCTTCAGACAGCATCCCCACTCTATGGCTGTGCTGCCCAGGCAGGTGGAGAATGCCAGCTCCAAAACCCAGAGAGCACAGGCCATCTGGGACAGAGGTCACTGCAGTGATAATCTTTACCATGTGGGTGTCCTGAGGGTCCCCCATAGCCCAGGTGCTAGTCAAACATCGTTTGGTCCCCAGAATAGCCCTGGGAGGGCCACAGAACTATTTGTACTTTGCAGATAAAGAACGCTGAAGCTTGGCACATTCAAGGCGACACAGCTGCTGAGCCAGAGCTGTGACAGCCCTGTTGCCTTCTCCCCAGGAACCCATCCCCTGGCTGACAACCTCTCAGGACCCCTGCAGTCTTGATGACTGCAACAAAAGGATACAGCCTTGGGGTGCACAGGTGACACAAAGCCCTGGTGATGACACCCACTCACCTGCTGGCATCAGAAGGAGCCACCACAGCCTGAGCTTGGTCAAGGACAGGAGTGCAGGACAGGGGCGGCCCATGGCTTCCCCTGGACATCAGAAGCAGGGTGGACCTGGGCTCTTGGGATGAACCCTGACACTCTGACAGGGCCCTCAGGGTGCTGGTGTGACAAGGCTGCTGGAAAGAGCAGGCTATGACTTCTTCACGGCTCTGGCTTTAGTGTTCCATCTGCACAGTGGGGATAATCAGGCTGCACAGGGGTCAAAGAAGGACACGGGTTTGACTCACAATAGCCAGACAGGGAAAGAACCAGGCATTCATCAGCTGATGGACAGGTGAACACATGCAGCCGTCCACACGACAGAACATGCAGCCCCCGACACAACAGAGCATCCAGTTATCCACTCAAGGGAGCACGCAGCTCCCCACACAGTGGAACAGCTTCCACCATCAGAAGGACCAACATGAACCACTACGTGGACACACCTTGGAGACCTTGTGCAAAGTGAAAGAAGCCGGCTGCAAAAAGCCACTTCCCATGAGCTGTTCGTGTGGGTGCTCAGAGTAGTTAAATCTACAGGTGCGGAAGCAGCCTGGGGGCGCAGTGAGGCGGAGGAGGCGGAGGAGGGAGTGGCTGTTGGGTGACCGCTGGGTCCCCTGCTAGGGCAGTGGAATAGCAAAGCAGTGCTGCTCACACAATCCTGGAAATGTGCTCAAATGCACCAAACTGGACTTGGTGGGGGGCTACTGGGATTGAAACTCCGGCTTTTACCCTGAGCTACATCAGCATCCCTGGCCCAATCCCCTCCTGAGCTTTTTACTGTGTACTTTGAGACAAGATCTCAAAGTTGTCTAGGCTGGGCTCAAATTTGTGATCTTCCTGCCTCAGCCTCCCAGAGCACTAGGATTATAGGTGCACACTATATGCTCTGGCTTCTGAATTGCACAGTTTTTTACAGGGTGACTTGTATGGTATGTGAACTGTATTTCATGAAGTTGTTATTTGAAATATGAACACCTTTTGGGTTACTAAGAAGTACCCAACTCTCAGAGGGAGGCTGACGTAGGGTGAAAACAGGGCAGAACCCAGCAGCTGATGCAGAAAGGGTGCTGGGCATAAGACAGACAGGACATCAAAAGTGGGTGAACCTCTGAGTGTCTCTATGGAGACGGCACATTTGTTAGTTTATATATTATTTTATTTCCTATGTGATCTAAAAATATGTGTCACTAAAATAACATTATGCACTAATTTAAAAGTTTACATATTTTGCTGGGGGTGGTGGTGCAGGTCTGGAATCCCAGCACTCAGGAGGCTGAGGCAGGAGGATCACCATGAGTTTCAGGCCAGCCTAGGCTACCTAGTGAGTTTAAGGACAACCTGGACTACACAGTGAGACCTTGTCTCAAAAAAAAAAAAAATTTACAAAACTTTATGCATTCAAACTAGCCTTACCCTAGCTAAGAGTGGTGGTGCGTGCCTGTAATCTCAGCACTTAGAAGACTGAGGCAGGAGGATCACTGCAATTTCAAGGCCAGCCTGGGCTACAAAGAACCCATCCCAAAAAGGAAAGGAAAAGAAAGGGAAGGGAGGGGAGGAGAGGGGCGGAGAGGGGAGGGGAGGGGAGGGAAAGATGGGGAACGGGACAGGACAGAACAGACAAGATGAGACGAAACAAGACAGAGAAGAGAGAAGAGGGAGGGGAGGAGAGGGGCAGGGAGGGGAGGGGAGAGGGGAGGGGAGGGGAGGGGAGGGGAGGGGAGGGGAGGGGAGGGGAGAAGAGAAGAGAAGAGAAGAGAAGAGAAGAGAAGAGAAGAGAAGAGAAGAGAAGAGAAGAGAAGAGAAGAGAAGAGATCTTTCTTGGGAGAACAGGATGTTTCCCGCTCGGTTGCTCTTTGTGTATGTGACCCAGAGATAGAACAGTGATTCTTGGTATAGACTATTGATCCGGGATTTCCTTTTGGGATGATGAGAATGTTCTGGAACTAGGTAGTGGAGATGGTTAAATAATGTTTTGAATACACTGACTAGATGCCATCAAAGGTAATCTGCACATACATTTTAACTACAACTTCTTAAAAAAAAAGAATATGGGAATATGGGTAAGAGAGTGCTTTTAAAAAATAAATCAGGATGGCCCAGTGCTCAGGAGGCTGAGGCAGGAGGGTTGCTTTGAGTTTGAGGCCACGCCTGGTCTATGAAGCGAGTTCAAGGCCAGCCTGAACTACACAGTGAGGCCTTGTTTCAAAAAGATAAAAAAATAAATTAAATTAAATTTTAAAAATATAAGTCAGTCTAGCACTTGTGGGAACTGAAGTAAAGGGACCCACAAATTCAAGCCCAGCTTGGATAACTTATAAATGAAGGGTCAGGGGTGCAGCTCAGGGGAAGACTCCTGGGTTCTCAGTATTGAAACAACAAACAAAAAAATATACAATCTCATAGATGGAAGGGCATCATGAAGCCACTTCTGCTGGCCATTGCCATCCCTAGCATGTCATGATCTCTCAGCAGGGAGCCCAGAGGTCCCAAGGACCCCTACGTGCCCCCTGCCCTGTCACATCAGCCCGCTCTGCACCCCAGGGACAGAACTGGCCTGGGGTTTGAAAGCGTGGCTTTGAGTCTTGCCAGGCCACTCTGCCTGACCAGGATTTCATCTTCTCGGAGAGACAGAGTCACACACAGGGGAGACCTCCCCACACAGGTCCTGCAAGCTGCAGCCTGCCTCCGTGGCTGTCACCACAGTGTGATCCAGCACCAGCAGTGACACTGGTGCCGCCCGGGGGCAGGGAGAGCCTGGGAATGGTTTGACAGTTTGACTGGAGGGTCAAACTGGGTGTTGTAACCTCTGACAACGTAATTATCCTAGCAGGCTGTCCTAGTATGGGGGAAAGCACCCTGCGCCAGCTTTCCCGGAGGGAAACCACAGGTTCCTCTGCTTTGTGCCACCTTTCAGAGGTGTCTTATCCCTCCCTGCCCCCCAAACATCTCAGCCAGCAGGGGAAGAAAGCCCAAGGTTCCCAGTAGGGCTGCTCTGGGAAGCTCCTCAGAATAGTGCCCCAAGGATAAAGACAGAGCTGCCTGGCAGGGGGACCCCCTGTGCTCAGCAACCCGGGGCTGCTGCCGTCCACACCCTGGGCCCGGAGCTCTCCCATTAGTGCAAACTAATGTCCCCTGCAAATTGTGCACATGCCCCGTACAGCACCCACCTGGCCTGGCTCCAGCAGCTTCTGCAGCCCTGGTGAGCTTAAGCAGTGGGGTCTGGGGTCCCTAGTCCTCAAGGGGCTTCTTCCACTTCCACGCTGCTCCTCTGCAAAGGAAATGGCACTGTCAGCTTCCACTCAGGAGAGCTGGCATTGCCCTCTTGCTCCTTTCTCTTAATCTTCCCTTCCCTGGGTGCGCACGGGTCTCCTGTTTTCTCCGGGGCAGCGGGTGTAGGCCATTTTTCCTACTACTTGACACTGTTCTACATTTTCCAGATTTCCTCCCATGCATTAGTTATTCAGCATAATGAAGTCTTTTTATGCATGCGGTGATTCCTGCATCAGCCCTCCCAGGCTCGCTGGGTTGGGGGTGCACGCAAAATTTCCTAGACTTAGACTCTAGCTGAGTGAGGGGCAAGCAGTCAAGGCCAACTCTGTGACGGGGGCATAGGCTGCGTCCCTCAGCAGAGTGGAAAATCAAAATGTGGTCCAGGTACAAGGTAAAAGAAAGAGAATTCAGCCTTTAAAAGGAAGGAAATTCTAGCACGTGCCAGGATACTAAGCCAAATAAGCCTGGGGTGGGGGAAGGGGGGGACGGGGGAGGGGGGGACAGGGACAGCTCACAAGAGGTGCCTGGAGTAACCAAATCCACAGAAACACGTGGCTGGGAGGGGGAGGCAGGAGCTAGAGTTGAAGGTGCAGAGCTGTATTCCCGGGAGACAAGAGGGGCTGGAGGTGGACGGTGCTGATGGTTGCTCTGTCAATCACCTTCCCATCACTGGGCACAACGCCCAACATCCACAACTTAAAAGAAGAGGGGTTTATTTTGACTCATGTTTTTCAGAAGATTCCATGCAGAGTCAGCTGGCTCCCAGGCCAGCACAGCAGAGCAGAAGGGTGTGGGTGGAAGAAAACTGCTCACTTCATGGTGGCCAGGAAGCAAAGAGAAAGGTGGAAGCAGCAACGAACCTCCAGAGATCTCCTCTTCCAGCCAGTTCTGCCCCCCTCCTAACAGCCAGGATTCCTCCACTGGCTATTGCCCAGGGTCCAATCACCTTCCAAAAGCCCCATCTCTGAGCATAGGAGGCTTTGGAGGTCATCCTAGATCCAGCAGTGGTAGCAAACCTCGGGCATGCATGCCACAGTGGGCTGTTCGTTATCACTGAACGCTGTAAAAAGTTTGCCCTCACTGGGCAAGAGTAGCTGCCCAATCACATGGCCTTAGGCCACCCAGCTGCACAGTGGCTAGAGCAGTAAGTTGTGTGTATTTTACCAATGTAGTAGAAGAGAAGCCAGCTGTGTTCACCTGGACTTATGTTTAGGCTGAGACACCTGAACCCCTTAGGTGGCACCAAAGTTGGGACTAAGGTCAGGGCTGGTGCCAGCCCCTAGCTCAGTGCCAGCTCACTGGGCAGACTCCAGGTGGGTAGAACCTCTCATGAACAGTTCCTGAGGAGGAAGGAGACCCCAAGAACGTTTAGGGAGGGAGACCAAGACTTGCCCTGAATTTAGGGAACAAGACCAACAAAAATTAGCTCTCGTTATCCGCTCATTTTTTTCCTTATTAATTGATCCTTCCACCATCTCATCCTTTGCTAGAGCCAACAGTATGCTGGGCAATGGGGCAGAGAACTGGGCTCCTGGGCCCTGAGGGTGACACAGAAAAAAGCTAGAAGAAAGAAGAGTCCTGGAGTTGCTTTTGGTCTCCCTGGCTTCCACGGTGTCCTGGGAGGGCCCGAGGGAGGCTTCCCTTCCAGGTGTTAGACAGCTCCCCAGGTGTGGAAGTCCTTCCCTGAGTCAGGCTCTGCGTGAGCACCTGAAAGAGGCCTGAGCTGAGCCAGCTGGAGGCTCCTAGTGTCACCACCAAAAGCTAAGTTCGTCACCACACGAGAGACCGCAGAGTGGGTGGTTTTCCCTCTGCTCCTTGTCACTTGTCAGACACCTGACAATCCCAGAACCATTTTCAGGTTCCTTTTCTCTCTTCCTCCCTCTACCCTGGAGGACTTCAAGAGTCCCGAGCCCTCCCTAAGTTATCCATGGACGTCACCTCACCTACCCTCCCCATCTGGAAGCGCTGTTGGCTGATGAAATCAAGAAGAGCTATAAAATCAAGGCTTCTTCCCTTCATCACACAGGTTGGAAGGCTCGCTGCTTTCTTTTCATTTGAAGTTAGCAAACAGGGCCCAGCAAGTGCCAGGAAAGCGAATCCCAGGGTCCCTGTGCACACTGACCCTCAGAGGTCTTCTGAAGACCTCGCAGCTGTGCCCTCATAGGGTTTCAGGGCTTTTCTGCCCTCAGATGGATTTGCCTTGTCCCAGGAAGCTGCAGAGAAAAGAGATTATCATCTCTTCTCTGTGAGTATAGTAAGCAGATCAATTTCTCTCAGTCCCCAGAGTTTCTAGCTAAAGCTGAATGTCGAGCTCCAGTCCTTAGCTTCTCAACTGCAGTGTGGGGCATGCAACCCAGGGGCACCAACAGGAAGGTAAATGTATGAGCAACTCTGCCTGTCCTTGTGTGTGTCCCACAGATCCCTGTCCCATGACTGCCATTGATAAGCCACAATCAGCCCTAGGTCTGTGGGAGGTGTTCAGTGAGCGCGGACAGGTGCACACCCCAAAGGCAGACCACCCGCAGTCAAGGTTCTAGAAATTTTCAGGTCACTAACTGCTCCTTCCATCCAGTGTCAAGATTGTAAATTCCAAGTGGCATCATCTAATTCACCTTCTAATTATGCACAGTAAATATGTCCCTATGATTGAGGACAGGAATCCAGGTACACTCATGCTGCATCATTTAAATATCCAGAGGCGATGTCCTGGACTCTGGAAGAATGTGCAAATGAGATGCAGTTGACTCTAGTGGCTATGCAGCTTCACATTTGTATCCTTGGTAATTAGCTCACTGTAATAATTTCATTAATTTATCACCAGAAACCAAAGGCTAGATGGTTTCAGGTAATTGACAGTAATTAGAGTAACCTTCCACCTCCAGCCACAAAAGAATTTAAAGAGAAACAACTCTGGACTCTGATTCCCTGTGTGACTGGATTGGCAGTTCTGGGGGAGTGCGGGATAAGGGGGTGATGCTCCTGTGTGTAAAACCTGGGTAAAGAAGAGCAAACAAAGACCATGCAAAAGCTACTACATGTATAAAGTACTCCGAATCGATGTCCCCATAGGGCTGAAGTTCATCAGCATCCGAATCCATGCCCCTCCTGTCCTCTCTCACCCACCCGGATCCCTGTCACATGGAACTCAGGGTGCTGGGGTGCTGCTCCTGCCCATCTTCCCCCACAGCTGCTTATCAGCTTCTTACCCATTCATCCACTTTTTACTCTTTTCACAGCATCGCTTCCTCCCAAAAGCCTGCCCAGCCCCACCTGCCCCTCCCTGCCATCCAGAAAGCAAGCCCAATGCACCTGACATGGGAGCCCAGCTCTTCCCCAAATGTCACTGCCATACCCTGCAAGAAACCCCTTGATTTAAGGAAATGATGCTATTTCTTCTTCTTCTAAACATAGCTCTCCAGAAAGGCTTCAGGGACAGAGTGCACTTCCAGCTTTCACAGATGCTCTGCCCGATGACCTGATCCTAACAGACCCTTAACCTCTCAAGGATGGAGGGAATCCTTGAGGTCACAACAACTGGGACTCTCTCCATCGGTTCCAGCCTCCATCAACCCAGCGAGGAAGATTTGGAACCTTCCGAGTTAATAAATACTATTGCTGTCTGCTAGTCTTCAGCTGGCATTTGAATATTTACTGAATTAATAAGTAAATGAGCCAAGGAGGGAATGTAGTAATTAAGGTGTAGGCACAGATTTGGTGCTAGAAAGCCACTATTTTTGACACTGAAACATCACAGAAGATCAGAGTTGTTTCATTCTCACGGGGCTTGAAACAACCCAGCAGGGACAGGCAGGAAGCTAAAATTCTCCCGGAGCAGGCAGCTTTTAACATTCTGGAATGACCCTCCCTTAATTGTCCACAATGCCCAGTATCCCCTCAGCCCCACCCGAAATCTCTCACATGCACAACACTCCCAGCGTAAGCCAGGGAGCAGCTCACTTACCTGTGATCACAAAAGAACACGGGGCACTCAAGGGACACAGAACTGGTCTGGCTGGGAGACCCAGGACAGCCAACAAGAGTCCCTTTCAACAGGGAGTGGCAGGTGCAGGATGTAGCTTGGTCACTTCAATATCATGGTCAAGCAGGCGCCGCAGCCTGAGGGGTCAGCTCGGGGTGAGAACTCTTTACAGTGAAGGACAAATTCTGCAGTGGGACCCGATTTCGTGGGGTTGCCCAGCTGTGGGAGGCAGAGGGGCACCACACAGGTGCTATGAGAGTGGCCTGGAAAGCCCAGCACAAGGGCAGCAACTGTAGGAGAAACTCATGCCTGGCCCCAGGAGGGACCACAGTAGAGTGAGCACAGATGCTGTCCTGTCCTCCCTCTCTCATTCTCTCTCTCGCCCTCTCTCTCTCTCTGGAGCAGGGAGGAGGAGCTTGTGGCTATTCAGCCTGTGTCCAGCAGGGACAGACACAGACACAATTACCTGTGCCTCCTCTCTGTCCCGTCTTGTGATGCTTCACTCTCTGCTCTGAAGGACCAGAACTGCACGCCCCAGGGGTCCCGAGTTCACCCCCAGTGAGTTGCACCTGAGCTCAGCACTGTCTGCCACACAGCAGTAGAGTTTTCAGTAAAGAAAGAGCAGGGACAGAGCCAGAGGCCACCGGCAACACTTTCCTCCTGCTCTTCTCCCCCATGGGACCTGTGCTCCTGCACCCAGCCACCTGCGGGGCACAGGTCACACATGCCACCACCTAGTTTGGCTGCTTGCCTGACTGCCTTCCCCTTCCCCAGCCTCGGTGAAGGTGACCTTGGCTTCTGTCATCTAGAGAAGTGGGGGCAGTGTCCTCCAAAGCAATAAAGGGACTTCTCGGTCACCTTCTCTCTAGCATCACACCCAGCATCTTGAGTCTTGGAGCCTATGGTCTTGAGAGTCCCTATCTGTTAACCAGTCCTGGCTTTCTCACAGGGGCCTCTCCCTACCGGTCTGCTGTTCCTTGCCCTCAGCTCCAGAGTAAGTGTCCTTCCGACCCCTAAGATCTCTGGGTTCTGCTTCCTGTCAAGCTACTTACCTCGGTAAGTAAGGTTCCTGTCAGCTAACCTTACCTTGTCTCAGCTCCCTGACTTTGTTCAAAGCTAAGGCCCTGGACACCAGGGGCCAGGGTGATGTCTGGCTCTGTTCCTTCTTCACAGCTGTGTGATCTTGGATGGGTCTCTAAGCTTCTTCACCCTGATTTCCTCACAGGTGAAAGGAGGATGGGAATGAGGTTCCTACTCCACAGACTTGTGAAGAATGAGTTGGCACAAACACTGTGAGATGCTTCAGGGGAGCTGTACCCAGCATATGTATGCACACACATGCCCGCATGTACATGTATTAAGCAAGCGCAGATGCATACAATCATTAGTATCGTCGCTGAGAACACTGAAAGATACAGATACAGTCATAATTGGGCCCTTGACTGCTTTGAAACTCATTGAACTTGAAAGCCATTGAATTTGATACTTGAGGCATTGTGACGTGAAAATCTTGTCCTGGTACTTGTCTGTTTGGTAATCAACACAAATTCTAGAACTCATTGGTGCTGATTGCCTAAGTCGACATCCCAGGCAAAAAAATTTATTTAGTATTCATCATTTTGTACTCATTGCATGAGTGCCAAGATATCACTGTACAAAAAACAAATCGTAAAACTCCCAAATTCTCACTCTCCATAATGAACAAGCGTTACTACTGCGCCATACTTAGAAATATACACATGAAGCTGAATGCAAACATTCTTCAGCTGCAGACTGGAAGACAGAAGCAAGGAAAGAAGAAAGGGAGGAAGAAGAGAAGGAAAGAAAAGAAAAAAGAGCACAACAGATTGTGTGAATGGGGAATCTTGGTTGCAAGCAATACAGATCAGCCTGGCAGAACCAGCTTTGCTGAAGGGTGTGGGTGGCTAATACCAGCAGGTAGGCAGCTGGAGGACCCGTACAGTGACAGACAGATGGAAACAGGGCAGCATCAGCCCCAGCGCAGACCAGCCTCGGGGCCAGCATGGCAGGGCCACTGCTGCAGAGCTGGGTATGAAACCCTGCAGCGTCACTGGCCCTGCTCCACTGCTGCCTCTGGAAACCAGCCACTCCTGCTGCTGCTGCTGCTGCCGCTGCCACAATTAATTCTCCTCTGTCCCTCACCCTTCATGTTGCTAGCTTCCTATCTAAAGGTCAAGACAGACTCAGATAATTAACCACGAACTAAATGCAAAGAAGGATGAGGGAGGAGGGATGGAGGGCTTTGGGCTTCTATTCAGAAGCGGGATAGATACCATCAAATACTTGAAAGTAGTATAACTGCTAGGAAGCCCCAGATGCAGTACTTGTCTCTTAACATGAATGCACACTCAGACATCTGCAATCACATATTGAAACAAATGCTTAGGTGTAATTGCTTTACAATTTGTACCCAAGGTTTGTTTAAATGAAGTATGGTTAAGAGACACAGCCATGGGAATGCCTGTCTGCAGGGAAGGTGTTTAGACTCACAGATCCCTAGAAACCCGAGCCAAGGAAGAGCACAAGGCCACACGGGAGCAGTAGGGCAAGCAGGAAGGGAGGGGACAAAGGAGAAGCGTGGCCTGGAGCTGTTGTTTGGGCCCTTGATTTTCAAATAGGATAGGAAGCAGCTTTGGCTATTAGTTTGACCTGATGAGAAATGGATGCCAAAGAGATTTATACAAAAGCAAAGGACACAAGCATAATACAAGCATTCCCTAAACAAATATAAGGGCTCATCCTGACCCCTAAATAGAACATAGTTCTAAGTGTCACCAGCCTCTCTGTAAATGCCCATTTTTGCTCTGGTCTTGACACAATGTCATCTTGAAATTCTATTTTCTATGCAGCAAATCACAAAGTTCATCCAAAACACAGTGCATATAATATGATGGAGTGGGCAAAAAATAAACTAGATTAACAAAAGAAGGAAAAATACGAGCAGGTATAGTCCTTACGATAAGAACAGGTCATTAGGTTAGAGTGGGTAGTTATAAATCTCTTCCCCATCCATTTCCCCCAGAATCAGCATTGATTCCAGAAAAGCCAAAGGGCAAGCTTCTGGGCAGTGTTAATGTAACTCCAGGGTTCGTGCAGCCAACTGGCTGGTGGATTGGGACCTTGGGCTTGGCAGCACAAGCAGAGCTTGGGATTTGTTACTGCTGCTGAGAAGAAGAATAGCGGGCAGTGGTGGTATTGGGGTGACATCAGGGATGGCATCTGTAATTGGAGTCACTTAGCTGTGTTTTCAGTGACCCATTAATGTTCTCAAGACTCATCACCTTAGGCAGAGATTGATGGTAACCAAACATTCCAGCCTTTGATAGTTGTTCTGATTCTGTGATCTCCCCAGAGGTATGGTACTGCTTTGATTTATTGGTCTGAGAGAGAGAGGGAACTTTAGTTTCCTCTTACTTCTTCTTCAGCAGAGTGATGATGATGATGATGATGATGATGATGATGATAGTAATGGTGGTAGTGAAGATGATGATATCCTGCTTACAAAGAAGTTTCCAGTGTTGATCAATTTTCCATCACTGTGACAAAATGCCTGAGATAAGCACCTTGTAAGGGGAAATGATTTTTTTTTTTTTTGGCTCATGGTTTCAGAGGTTTCAGTCCATGGTTAGTTGACTCCATTGATTTTGGGGCTTGTCGTGAATCAGTCCATCATGGTGGTATTGCCCAACAAAGGAAACTGCTCACCTGATGGTAGCTGGAGGGCAAAGAGAAGGACAATAAGGAAGCAGAATGTAAACATATCTGCTTCAGGCAGGCACAGCCCCAATTCCTTCCATGAGGCCTTAACTTTAAGGGCCCACCACTTGCTTACCATCACAAGCTAATGACCAGTCCTTTAACACATGGGCCTTTGGAGAACACTTATCCAAACCAAAGCATTTCCTTAATTCACATCTTGGAAAACAAGGTCCAAACCACCTCTCCCACCCTCTGGAATCAAGATGACGGCCCTTGGGTAGCAATGTATATCTCAAGGTCTTGGAAAAGGAAGGGTCTCATGACTCTTCATATTAGGAAAAAATCAAGCTGGTCATACCTAAGAAAATTTTCAACATTCCCTTTCCAAGTCATCCATTACACTGTGCTAATTTCTGCTATCATGTCTTCACCTGCACGGACTAGTAACTGAGCAAACTGTTAGTCCACCCTTATCTGGCTGAGCTTGTAGGGCAACCCTAAATCTCTAGAAAACATACTCTTTTCAGTCAGCCAAATCCTACTTCAACTTTCCGTTCCCAGTCTGCTATCTGAAGAATCCATATCTATACATACTCACCAGAATGTGGAAATACATGAGCATAATTTTTCAGATTTAAGGTGTGTCTTTTATCCCACCCCCGGTTTTTCTTTGTGACCTACCTGCTGGGGCACATGGAGATCTGACTGTGATTGAAGTATAGAGTCAGGGAAGGGTAGTAAGTGGGGCATGAAGAAATCTGGCTTACCTGGTCAAGGCGTATCCTTCAGGCAAGGAGCAAGCTCATTAGAGAGAGAGGGAGAAAGAGAAACACCTTTCATGGGCAAGGGAGGCTCTGTGACATTAGTCATGGGAAATTTCCCTGGTCTTGAAGCCTCAATTCTCCACAGGCAGTGCTGGGAATTAAATTAATGCAATAATTGGACAGATCACAGGATCAAAATTTGAGCGTGGATTTTAGTCATCTTGGCAGCCGTAGTGTCTTTAAGCATTTCTTCTTCAGAGTGTGAAGAACATTAAGCTTTCCCAGTTGACAGCACCAGAGGGACATTGCAGGAGGTCAAGAAAGGGGCTTCTTGCAATTTCTACACAGGTGTATGTGTGTCAGGATGGGTTGCACCCTCCACCTTGGTGACTGGAGGTTTGTAAGTGGGATGATCCTTCACTGGAGGTAATAAAGCCTGGGGAGGTAATGGAAGTTTTTGGATTATTCTGACTTTCTCAGCAAAGTAGTAAGAAACAAGTAAGGATGAAGAAAAGAGTAGCAGAGACAGAAAGTGGTACAGGGGAGAAGCGGAAAAGCAACTGAACTTTTGAGAAGCTGCAGTTGGAAGCAGTTTTATCAGGGGAGAATTATGGATCAGATAGAATGAGAAGGGAAGAGAAAGGAGGTTCAGGAGACAGAGGAGTCCACTGCTAATAAGTCTGAAGCCCAGAGGCCATGGTAAATTCCAGAAGCTTTCAGAAGGTTCCAGAAGACGCAGGAGTTTGGTAATGGAAGAATGAGAAATACTGGCCCTAGCTGGTCTATCAATGAGGCCCGTAGGACTCGGAAGACTAAGCTGAAAAGAGAAGCCGGAGCAAAGGCCATGAAATCGCAACACAGAAGCAGACCTGGGCAGACGCCACTAC